CCATTCCATGACACGGTTTGGGCCACGGCGTCTTGCATTTGAGCCCGGTTATGGACAGGCGACCTTGACCGCGCCCGGTCGATTGCTGGCGCCTATATGGGTCGGATGTTTTAAGATCAGGTAGTCAGCTGCACATTCAGCTTCATCGTGCATGCGCTTTTACGTTTTCGCCTACCCTAGCAACTAAGCTCTGACATCCATCCTGAAAAACGTCTCAAGACGGGCGGATCCACGGTTTGTGTATCACAGCGCATGCTAGCCTGCACGCATCGGCTAACACCTGTCCTCGTACGGTTGTCCGTCTTCTCCTAAGTTGGCATGCACTAATCGCATCTGGCTGCGACACTTGGTCGCCGAGCGCTGGACCTGTTTTCAACTAGTGTTTCCCAACACGCTAAACAGAATTCGGCACGTGACATGCTGAGTCCATGCTGACCTATTTTTCAGCTCTGTTACTTTACGGTCAATGGCAAACCCTTTGTCCTGCTGTTTTCGAAAAATGATATTCAAAATTAATTTCGATCACACCAGCTGGATATCAACCACAGTACAACTTTCAAAGATTTTTCAGGAGCCCGGCCCAAATCAGACGGCAAAGAAATGCTCTCTCCGTAGGTGATTGAGTGACCTTTCGATTTGATCGGGATGGGAGTTACAGCTGGGCTACGGTTACAACTATGCTCTTCCCACTGCTGGGACCGGCGTGGTCTCGGCCTGGCTTAGACATTTCATCCTCCAGGCCTATGCCCAATGACGGCAACCTTGCTGTGACGTCAGACTGCGCATCGCCACGGCACCTATGCAGGTCACGTTCAGTTATTGCATTACGGGCTCTGCTGTGCCGTGGCTCATGCTTTGAAATAAACTAGAGGCCATGCTTGCGCGATGCGCAGAGTGTTTTCAGAAAAACTTGTCTGACAATTTAGCTTGCGTGCAATGTTTGATTTGCTTCTGCAGCTTAAGCTGGAAGATGGTGTATGAACTCCTGGTCGAGCGAGGCTACATGCAACTGAAATTGAACCTTCTCAGCTGTTCATTTGTGTGGGTTCATATTTTTCAATGGCTACAGTGTAGCTAAAACAGGCCAGGAAACTCCTGCAAGTCGTCGGCTGGCATTTACCAAGAGACAGTTATTGCACCAATCCACTTAACACCCAGCACGTTTCCTGGAAATTTTCGTTTGAAAGCACAGTTGATGGGCAGATTAGCTCCGACCATACGAGCGCTTAAAACGTGGGCAGGAGTGCGACGCTAAAACTTAAGAGTTGGGACGGAGAGAAGAGTATCGCGACAGCACCTGCCATCACTGTCATGCACGCTACACTGTACATTTGTACTGTCATGCGCCGTATGATTCCCTTTTCTTCCAAAAATCCGTACGGGGTTCAACGTGAGCAGACGGATATTATGATATTTTTTACGGGGGTTACACAGCCGTGAATATCTTAAAATATGTCGGTAATTCTGTGACGTCACGTTAACGTATCGCCACCGGTGACGCCATCGGCTGCGTAAATCTTTCCAACTGAACGATTCAGTGGTGACACTGAACACAGCTACCCATTGCGCTGTAAATCTTCCAAAAAAGGAATGCTTTTTAAAACCCTTTGCAGCTAAAGAAATACCTCAAATGCTGTTGGATTCATGATGTTGGGCACCCTAAAGTCAGATTCGGATTCAGACATTCAGTGGTGTTCGATGACTCAAGCACTTGCCATGGCATATGCGAATGCAGCCCGGGAGAGGTACATTGGCATATGCGAATGCAGCCCGGGAGAGGTACATTGGCATATGCGAATGCAGCCCGGGAGAGGTACATTGGCATATGCGAATGCGGCCCGGGAGAGGTACATTGGCATATGCGAATGCAGCCCGGGAGAGGTACATTGGCATATGCGAATGCGGCCCGGGAGAGGTGCATTGGCATATGCGAATGCAGCCCGGGAGAGGTACATTGGCATATGCGAATGCAGCCCGGGAGAGGTACATTGGCATTTCACACGATGCGCGAGATAAATGATCTCTAATTACTCTCGACAGCACGTGGTCACCTGAGCACAGGAACGCATATGTGTTCCAGTGCGATTCCATACTCCTGTCTCAGTTGAATCGCTCTGGTACAGTATGCCCAGTACCGTACCCACGGCTGCCAAATTTTCAGTCAGGTGGCAGTGCATGCGCTGCGTGGAGAACCTTGGGCAGAAACACTCGACTGCATGCTTTAACTCTAGTCGACGGCAGGCCGGCGAACGGACATGGACGTTTGCACTGACGAAATCCGCAAATTTGCAGCAGTTCGTTTTAAGCTGGTTACCACCAAAGCATGGAGAAACACGCAAATTATTTTTGGTGGATCTTGGTCACTGTGATTTGGGTTTTACGCCTGTGTGATTGGCACATATCCGCTTCACTTGGTTTAAGCGCAAGCCTGCTATATCCAGAACGGGTTCGAAAAACGTCCCACTGATTACTTCCTAATGTGTCGCTGGTGCTGCCATGGTTAGAGAGTGTAAGGCTGCGGGGTGATTTGCAGACGGTACAAACGCCTACATCATGCAGTTGGTTTCATGACGTTATCCGTCTGGACTGCCAAAATCTGACATTAATCCTAACAAACGCACGAAAACCGCCGGATCCGTGGTTTTTGCACGAGCGCACGTGCGCCACCGCACCCATTGACCAGGCGGGGTGATTGTCCGTTCATTGCCAATGCAATTGTGCTGATTTCGTTTCGCTGTAATCCCCCATTTACAAGAAGGGAGGCTGGTTTCTTCTCATCACTTGGCGATTTGGCAATTTGCGAATTTCACTTTTCCCATGTTAAATCAAAGGCACGCTTGCACGTGCCATATTATGACACGTGACGATGAGTAGTGCCACATTTTACCAGGATGCATTGTGCCACCAGGCCTACGGGGTCACCGACCTTTCAAAACTGCAAAATGCACAAATCTCCCCCTAAAGCTTTACAAATGTAGAGGGTTTCTTTTTTAGCTAGCGTTTACACTTTACAAGTGCCGATGCTGGCGGATGCGGTCGAGTCAAGCTTTTTTGCGGGGACTTTCCCTCCCCGCAAAGAAGACCCCAGGGCGAGGGGTTTGGCACAAACAGCCGCAGTCAGACGACGTTCGTTGCTGAGACCTCACAGACACTAACAGTCGCCACCAGCGACCATCTGTCGGTGCCATCACGTGCTGTACCGCATTACGTGGAAGCTTGTTCGGTACTTACGCAGAGGCGTCGTTCGTCACCGCTTGCAGCGTGCGGGGTTAAGCTCCCAGTTTTCGGTAGAGCGGTTCCCCTCGTTTAAACATGAGGCCTTCGGATGTTGTGAGCGGATAATCAGCGCGGAGCATCGCTACGTACCACCACTCCGCCCCAATCTCACCCGCTGTCGGAACGTTTCACCTTCGCAGACTTGCCGAAAGCTTTGACGAATCATCAACGCCCACGATGTTGAAACAGGCGGCCGGCGTCAGCAGCCCTGCAAGCGGCGCCACGTTTGCGCTCGGTGCGGCGTGGACGGGTCCGCAGGGTGCCGCACACTCCGCACAGGGCAACAGCGAACCGGGTCAGTGGGCCGACACCACTCATCCGTTTACCTGGAGCTGCACCTGTGTCAGGCGTCGGTCAGCTACGGCCGTTTAATGGCTCAGGCGGAGAGCCCTGCTCAAACATTGCTGTGCACGCCTGGGCTGATGCGACTTAACTTCAGAATGATCGTACGTTTGGTTGATGCACCATTTTTTGTGCCGTGTTAACACGGAAAGACAAGGATGCCTGATTTAAGTATCATAGTGCGCTTTTCGTCACGGATGCTCAATCTTGATCATACAGGTTCAGCAATCCACTTTCATCGATTTAGGCCGAGTTCCGCCCTCTTCGGAATGAGGACATCCAGGGTTGTAAAGATCGGGTGATGGCCAAACACCTTCACCGCCTGCTCTAGGCTCCGCAGGGAGCAAATTTACGGTGCACTAATTGCAAACGCAAATTGTACATATGAGTATTCATTAGCGTATATGATTCCATTTTCTACCCGCTAAGTTGGTTAAATATCAATCAGACAGTATCACCCTTATCGGAGCTGCATCTAAGAACATGCTTTCAAACCCGACAAATCGCGCTTGCCTGTGCCCTTTTCACACGTTGCGCACGTCCTGTTTGATCCTCATCTTTACGAACAGTTATTTGTCGGCTCGCTGCTAAGAGATCCAATCTCCCCAGCCCCGGCCGCTGGCGTCCACTGCTGGGCGGCCGGTCTTGCCGCCAGTGGCCTCTCTGCACGTGGGCAGTCCCAGTGAAGGCGTGCAGCTGAACGTTGAAAGGAAACGTGAGCTCCAAATGTCCCGAGATAACTCACGCAGGTAAAACCGCTTTAAATTAGGCACAAAGACATTTCAACAGCGTTTTTGTAATGCTTCTGCCATAAGGACGCTGCAAAACGCAAGGAAACTAAGTTACACAGGAAGATACAGCCATATCGCTTAAATCAACGTCTTTGAATACACCCCTTGTATCCAGCAAGCGCTTCCCTTGGATGTACAGTTTACGTCGCTCGCTCTATCCTTCTCTTGCTATTATTCCCATTCCTTTGCCGTTAAGCCGTTCCCTATATCCCTGCTACAATTGAATGATGTATGTTAACCATTGATGCACAACCAGTTTTGTTCGTCCTGCTACCTGATCCTGAAATAGTTCCTGAAGTCCTGAAATATTTTGCCCCAAAATCATGCATGTGCCCCCGTCTTTTCATCACCATGTCATTTTGTTATGAACTAAACCACCGATAGATCCGTGAACGACGGTTATCTCATGACCACAATCAGCTCTTAACTGCCGTTGGGCTCTTATTTCCGCTCACATTCTAATCACCTGCGCGCTCTAACCGAGCCTAACTTCCAAATGTCCGAAGCCTCTCCCCTGTACTCCTCCACCACCAGTCAGGAGTTTTCCATCCCTGGTCCCCTCCAATCGCCAAAGTCTTAAGCGGCACGTACCTTCCAAACGCCTCGAACACGAGGTCCCCGGCGGCATCCACGTCTCGCTTGTGGATGCTCCTGTTGCCGTGCGCTCGTGTCTGGTGGATATAGATGACCTCATACTCGGCCTGGTTGGAGCCCAGAAAGTGGCGTCGCTCGCTCTCCGTCATGTGCCGGTGAAGGTTGTGGAGGATCTGCGGTCACACGAGATCATCGGTGAGGTCAGCACGCCGGCGCCGGCCGTCATGTCCGGCGCACTCCGGTCTGGAGACGGATTATTCGCAACAAGCTCCGGAGCATTCCACCTTCTCCTATCCGTGTGCGGTGAAGGCGCTCTGGGACTCGACGGTTTATTCTTACGCGCAGTTCTGACAGCGATGAAGGAAGCCTATCGTTCTATTTGCAATGCACGTCGATGGGGCTTATATTATGGACTGATCGGGCGTGGACCGTTACACGAGGGTGCCTGTGGACAACCAGAGTGACAAGCAGGCGGGGGTCGGATTGATAAAGATCCAAGTGGAATTGGTGGCCTTCAGAAGTCAGCCGTGTCCGTCTTCACAATCCACTACTGTATCGGCACACATACACCTAGCTTTCTCCTTCCAAGTTGCCCAACGGACAGCTCATGCCATCAATCAAACTCATTTAAAATGACACCAGTGCTAGAAATGAGATCGGTTTCATGTACTACCAGCCATCAGTTCAACATCGACAAATTTGCGGTTTGTGTAAGATGGATAACAGACTTAACGAAGGCAGAAGCCATGTAAGCCATGCATGCCGTAAAATGTTGATACCATGTGTCTCGTGATGTTATGTTTGCCTGACACATTTAGCAGAGTTTTGCGCAATCATTCGAGATGTCAAAAGGTACTCATGCTTCCTAGCAAACCACACGCACGGTTTTGGGCGTGTACAAAGTATGGTCGTGCCCCGCGACCGAGCACGTCCGATGCTGGGACGATTTAGGCAGGCAGCGCAAGATTTCTGCCTTCTCCGCACCCACTGGCCGCCAACCCTGTACGCTATCGGCTTCCTAGGGACGCACCGGCGTTCACTTTTAAGTGGTGTCACACTCGCAGTGCACACATGGCGAACCACATGTAGAAGTTTCCCTCTAGGGGACATGGGCTTAGTTCCATCCTTAAGACAAAATGTCACTGAAATGCGCGATTTGGATCATCGATCGCTTATGATGCCATCGGACTATACACAATTTATATTTTGTATTTCATTCATGGTAATAATCACAGCTCCTGGGCTACTTACCAGGCGTCACACGAATACCCCAACACATCACTTGGGTGGTCACAGTTAGTTTGCACTGGTTAAAGAGCATAAGTGAACCGTATATAAACGGAATATACATTGTTTGCACCGATGATCACATGTCCAACCGGAAACATGGGAAAACCGTCAGAACAACCGGTTTTTCAAGTACAATTGTTTTGGCTTCAGAGGCAGAATTTTGGGAGGGCGGGCTTAATATTTCAATGAGGTCACACCCATCTGGTGATCTCTGAAGACAAATTTAGACGCTATAGTTAGGAATATCCTTTTAATTAAGACGAAATGACAACACGCATTTGCAATGCCTTAGCAACAAGTATTACATGGCTGGACCTGTAGAAGTTCTTACGGGAATGGACAGCCGCAGGATATCAATAAAATGCGCCCAGCCGGCCCACTAGCACATGCTACGCACCGAATTAACCTAAGTGGATTAATTAAATTCATTGTACGATTACCATTCATCTACTTGCGTAGATAGCGCCTATGAGTTCATACTGAATCGAAAAAGGCCAAAAAAATAGAGCAATGCAGACGCACAGTTGACCATCTTTATGTTTCAAACAGCCATCTCATTTTGTAGCAGAAGTCAAGAAAAATATGCCGCTTATAGGAAAGTTAGCTAGTGAACGTATTTTATATCATCGTCAGGCGTGCTTGCGCTGTCATTGTAAACTACCTTGACGGTGAGCTTCTTCGTTAAACTCGCCACTTAATCACTCCGCACCGTACCTGAGCCTCCCAAAAATTTCCGTCATCCGCGTGGCATGGTTGCTTGAACATGACGTTTAGAGACGTCCCATCTGACAAATCCCTCATAATCCGAGAGGCAGTGCGAGAGTCCCGTGATATGACCCCTCCGACTGAGCAGCTTGAGGTGAACAGTGACTACTGTCCAGAGGACCGGCGCGTATGTCCACCCGGCCCTGTGGCGGTGACCTGGCCTTCTCAGGTCATCGGAATGCGGCTGCCTTCACACCCACGCCTAGTGCAGCACGTGAAGGGTCCTTATCCCAGATAGAACACAAGCACACTTGCGCGGGACAGAAAAACGCGTGGCTAGTGTGCTTCAGGACGCTCAGCATAATTAAGGCGTGAGCTTATAGTGTACATGAATACCATTAGTCGTTTTATGGGGCTCTAATGAAAACACTGCAGACACCCGTAATGCCCCACTGATCCACGTCCTCCCTTTACGAACAATCATGCATGCACAATCCGCTTAAGTTGCCAAAAGCTCCGCGTACTTTTCGCTGGCTTCGTATAAGCGGGATCATATCATTAGACGTCAATGGAATCTGGCTGTGACCGAATAAGACCATTAAACAAGGTCCCCGCCCGTCGCACAGACATAATGCGGGAATGCGTGGCGACATATGTGCATTGCCTGCCGACTCGTATTCGGTAGTTATCAGTCTCCTGAGAGGTAAGCATGCAGCACAGACAAATGAGCACATTTTACAGCCAGTTTATGTCCCGCTCAAGCGGCGCCGAATTGGCGGTGACACCGCCGCCGTCTGCAGGGTCTCCGAACTGGCCGTGCCGGCTCCGGTGGCTTTCTCCCGCTAAGGAAATCTTTCACGTCAAGGTCACTGTCACCGGCAGGAGACAGCAGGCCGGGGACCCGTCCGCCTCTGTCCGACAGCGTGCTGCTCATTCCCCGCGCCCCTCCTCCACCCACCCCAAGGTCTGGCGCCGGACGAGGAGCGGCACGGTTTGCTCCGAAAACGTTACCGGCGGGTGGCGCGGTGTCGATACCACGCCGTTTGCTCGTGATGCAACCGGGGTAGGGGAAGGGGGAGGGCGGCGACGGCGCCGGCGGACGGATGGCGTCCGGTCGGGAAGTCAACCCTCCGAGACCTTGACCCGGCTGGCAGCGGCCGCGAGTGTTGACCAGGCACTTGTCGCTCAGCTCTCGGAAATGCTCGTCATACCCGGCCGCACAGCGGGCTTTAGCGTAGCGGACGCTATTTACTACGCTCGTGCCGAGAACGGTGTCACGTGTGGGGCATCAGTCAGTCATCATGTCAAAGTGGGGCATTTAAGCGCGTGTCAAGGGCTGAGGCACGCGATCGAAGCTCCGTCAAGATGTACACCGTTTACTTTGCGCTTGCGGGCTGAAGAAGGCAAATTAGATGCATATGCTCTGCAACACGGGAGCCAGTTCGTTTGGGAGGCTTGATTGACTACATGACAACATTCATCATCAGCCAAACAAGGCGTTTGCGGCAGGTCGTGTAACTCTGGAGCCCCTCCAAGCGACGATGAGGGATTGGCTATCAAGCGGACCGAGAGTTGTCCGGGTTGGCTTAGGTCAGGTGCGGCTCTTTCCGGTTTCAGCATTGGCTGCTATTCATTTAGTAAGAAATAGGATCACAAACAAATTACCTTCCTGTAGCGCATGTCTGTTTCGTCAAGAAAAATACCACCTACGAAATTTGTTAATCCCGTGTCGTAAACATGCATAAAAATACTTCAGGTTTACTTAAGATTTTGGGTTTCAAGTCATTAGGGTAGAGGGCTACTTGGTGAAACTTAGTTTCCGGCCCATACCTATGTCTTTGCGATGCCTATTTTATTTGTTTCACATCACCCTCCTCAATATAAACATTTGGAGCAAAGCTGTCACAACGCGCGCCAGGCAGCTTGATCCCCGATGTTCTAACACGCTAACTCCATATCCTAGCGTAACATCCTTACAACTTGCTCAATTGTGGCTCACGGCTTTTTTCCACCTAATTTGTGGCCCAATTCATCATGAATGACGACCGGCACGAGAATAGCGACATGCGCAGTGGTGCAGTGGCTGTGTCTGGGAGTTAGTGAAGCATATTGGACGATGAATTCGTCAATTCTTGATGAGCACCAAACTTGTGGTCGTTTTGCTATCCTGTGGAGACACCAATGACTTCCTGCCATTAAAAGCATTTACGCCCTTAAAATGTTTAAGCGTGTAGAAGCCGTAGCGGTCTGTAGCAAGTCATCATTCTCGAGCCGCCTGTTACGTAAACAGGAGAGACCCCAGATCACACATACAGACACATGAGAATGCACAATACGTGAGAACGCAGGCTGCCACAGCTCGTAATTACATAATGTTTTAAGCTTTAAGCAGGTGGAAGAATGATGTGGCTTTAGGGAAACCCATGACGGCATGCTTCGCACGGTGCTTCTCTTCTCATTGCTTTATTTGTAAGTCACCCGCTCGTTCTTTGTTTGTGTAGGTTGACGGAATTGAGTTTGCTGTTATCCTTTTGGATACGAAGATGTTCGGGACCTCGCTTAAGTTTGAAATCTACCGCTAAACCCTGACCCGGACTCACTGCGGCTCACGACGCGAACCGATAGCCATTTGCAACCAGAGTATGATAGCACCCCGCGAAAAATCAAACGGATTGTTTTCAGCAAGGTCCCACGATTGGATACAAGTTTTGTGCAGTACAGTCAGTGATACAGTCCAGTCGGCCAGATCGAAATTCAATATTTCCAGAAAAGCGGACTTTTTTGGATTTACATGTCAGCATTTACGGCAACATGTAATGCGGCTGCATAAGACTTGTGCAGGTGTGTTCTTTGTGCACTAAGAAGTATATGGATTTAAATTGTTTTGTTTTGACTCTTAACATTGATGCTGTGGGCATTCCGGATGGACATCCGTGTTCGAAAACCAAAAAGTATGTTTCTGGCATTAAAACAGGAATGTTTCTGATTCCAAATCAGGCTAAGTTAATACTTCAGAGGGTACTGGATGGATACTTTAAAAACAAAGGAAAGCATACTCATGTCGCGCATACCATCGCACAACCCCCTCTCAGAACAAGTGTTAATTTCATAGTGCGCATCCAATGGCAGGTAAGTTACCGTTGCTTTTCTCTAAATGGGTCGGTCATTCCAAGAAACTCATGATTACCTCAATTAGCTTTGACTTCTTTTGCTTGAAGTGCTATTTAAGTTCCAAAGAATAGGATGAAAATATGGCGGTTAAGTTATTAGAAGGTTGATTACTCAAACAACTGTGAGAAGTTTCGAGACATCCAATTAAGTAACCTTACATAGGCTTCAAACATGAGTTATTATAATAGGAGACCATCGAAAATAACGAGCGTTGCGACTTCAAGCACGTACGCATTACATTGTCAGAACTGACTGCAGAAGACTAAAACCAACTCGGGTGCATGCGCCACGCACCATCTCATGTTTTGTCATGGGACGCTTCAACAAGGCAGACACCTAAAATGCATGCGACATTTGAGGTACATTTCATCGCATTATATATATATATATATATATATATATATATATATATATATATATTGGATACAACGTACATCCACAGCCATGCTCTGGGGTGGCTGGGACTGACAATATTGCATCGGTCTCTCAGCTGTTTGACTTATAGCTTAAAACGTCACGTTCTAGAGGTTTCACGGTGGTGAAAACAAACAAGAAGTACGCTGTTGAGAATCATAGCATTTGCGCAAATCAGTAATCAATATGACTGCCTATAACGCAAAGTGCTTAAAGTGTTCCATCCCACTGACCTGTTCTGCCGCCGTCCCGGCCACAAGCGCGAAGCACGAGCGCCACGGCTCCGGTCACCGCCGGTCCCATCCTGTGCGCAGCGGCTACCGCCGTCGGCGGTCCGGGGTCACTGTGCACAGGTCAGAGGTCGCGGGTCACCGGTCACGGGTCACGGGTCGCGCTTGCAGTCAGCCGTCAGCCGCGGTCGGGCGCCGGGGTCGTCTCCACACCGGTCCAGGCGCACGCGCGCATAGCGGGGGCGGCACGACGGACGAGCGGCGGCACCAGCTGACGGGCCAGACCGCGGGCGCTGACTGGCCGACGGCGGCGCGCCGCCGGCCGGCCCGCGCCGACCCTCGAACGACGCGGAACGGACGCGGAACGGGTCCGGAACGGGTCCGGAGCGACTTAGGGTCGGTCAGGGACGCCGCCGGAGCGGCCCAAGACGCTGAACAGCGGTAAAGCCGGACAGGAAGCCGCGACCAGACGTAGGCGGTGTGGAAGCGGCTCATGGAAAGGTGACAGTGATATTGCCAGGCCAGCCGGAAAGTGTTAGGTCTGACTCCCGAAGTATGCAGCTGAACACTAGCGTCTGATACGCGAAGGATCGGTCGCCGAGGGTCGAGTGGTACAGAGCCAACAGCTGGCGCCTGGGATAGGGGGAGTGGGGGTTTCAGAAAGACGGTCCAGTCCAGCAGCGGAAAACTGGACAGCACTCCACATCCCTCGCTCTCGCCGCCGCTACTCCCTCCGGGGCGGACCTTGAGCTGCAGCCGCACATTCTAGCGGAAACGGAATCGTCACACCCTCACTCAGTCCTTGCAGCCGTGCCGGAAAGGACCCGGTCCGCCTCCGCACGGTCAGCGCAGCGCGCTGGTGTCAGCGCGGCGCGGTGGCGACCCCGCTGGACGATGATAGCTGAGTCGGTCAGCACCGCGCCACGCTGAGCAAACATGGGTCGGCCGGGGCTCGTTCGCTTGGCCTTTGCGACCTGACGAAGGGCGCTATCACTGGCTCGTCCATGGCCTCCGGTGCGGCGATCGCAGCCGCTCCACAGTGGAGGCCTTGGGCTCTCCGTTTGCGGTTGTGATACCCTAGCTAAGGGCGCACAAAGCAGAAGGAAGTTGCAAGATCTCGGTGCTGCGAAAAACGAGCGAGAGAGGGAAAACAAAGAGCGAGGAGAGAACAGGAAGCATAGATGACGGATGAGTGGACCGGCAAACATAAAAAAGAGAGAGCAAAGAAGCTCTAAGGAAGGGACAACAATCAATTGGTCTTGGATTATAAGATGATGGATGAGGTACGCTGGTGGGAAAGCAGATGGGGAACCCATGAAAGCGCCGAGCTAGCCAAACTGAACAAGCACAAGGCCAACAGTTTTTAGCGGGAAGATCCAAGAAGCTGCATGCGCCAATTTCCACTGCAGTTCATTTGCTTGCCTCTTACCTGACATAGATCAGAGCCGACGGCAAATGAAAACAGTATGTACTGCTCACACCTTGCAGTTCTGTAATCGTGAGTGAGAGGCTAGCTGCAGCTCAGTCGTCTGCCGGTCGTACTCGCGCGTGTTTTCAGGTCAGCCCTGCGCTGCCACGTCGCTGGTATGCCGGTCGTACCCGCGCGTGTCTTTCAGGTCAGCCCTGAGCTCCCACGTCGCTGGTATGCAAGTCAGCGCTGCCGGCGGTGCTTCGTGCGGTGACTCGGGCAGCCTTGGTAACGGGCAAAGTCAACGTCGCGCTCGAGCAGGGCCAATGTCGGCGATGACAGCAGTCAGGGTTCTAGCAAACTGGTGGGGTTGTGCAGTGGTTGCGCTAAAAAAACGCGCTGATCTTTCCTGTGGCGGAAATTTCAGCTGCCGTGAAGTTTGACGTGTTCGTTGGCGGCACTAAGCGCCAGATTGTGTGTAATGATCGGCTGAATATTTTAAGCCGAATAACCGTCGCTGAGTTTCCTCTCAGGTCAGTGGGATTAAGCAATTCGTATGCTTAAAAGCATCAATTTAAGCGTTGCACATATTCCAGGCCCGTGTTGCGTGGACGTTAAATGCAATGAAAAAGTATAGGATGTAGCTTCCTTTGCTCTTGGAACACTAAGATTGAGCTCAGCATATGCTAGCTGAGAACAATAGTGATCTTAGACAGGAATAGAAAAGATCAGTTTTCGGTATCGTGCCTAGTGCGTCGAATCTATACATGTGTGTGTGCGTGTGGAGCAGGGGAGTGATGTGCCCCCCGTGGCGCTTTCAAACTAATAAAGATAAGGCTTAGCGGAAAACACCATTTGGTTTGTTCCAACGTGATCTCGCGATTGGCATTTGTTTTCAGTTTGTTAGGTCAATAATCAACCGCATTATGGGAGATCAAAGGTCGAATGTTCCATTACATCGTACCTTTCCAACTTTACAACACAATACCTACGAAACCATGCCATGTGGCGACACGAACCTTGAACAGGCGTGTTTCTGGTTCCATTCTGAATGCAATGGCGTATAATTTTAGGTTTTTGAGGTAGTTTATGATATGGCTTCGTCAATGTAAACTCTGCCGGCCCCCCGCGCGCGTACCGCTGCATCGTTGGTTACCGCTGCAGCGGGCGCCGGCCACAGATCACCCAGAAACTCTAGGTGGCAGCAAGACACGCGCAAAAAGCTCCCCATAGGATACTGAACGTTTGGACACGACTAAACGACATGCCGGAGAAAAGAAATATCGTAAAACCTTATTATATATATATATATATATATATCACTCGTATATATGTATATGGTTTATTTATCGTATATATTTGTATATAATGATATAAATATATATTATATATATATATATATTTCAAATATAAATAAATATACATATGATATATATTTTTATATTATAATAATTTAAATATATATACATATATATGTATATATATATATATATTATATATATATAATATATATATCTATCTATCTATCTATCTACTATCTATCTATATCTATCTATCTATCTATCTATCTCTCTATCTATATATATATATATCTTATATATATATCTATATATATATATATATATATATCAATCTATGTATGTATAATCGCTTATTTATCGTATATTCGTATATAATGATATAAATATGTGACATATATATTTCAAATATAAAATATACATATGATATATATTTTTATATTATAATAATTTATATAATATATATATATATATATATATATATATATTAATCAATCGTATGTATGTATATCGCTTATTTATC